GAATAAAATCAAATGGACATGTTATCGTTCAATTCTATGTGGGATTAAATGAATGAAAATGTGAACTAAATTTGATCTAAACTAAGATAGCATTGTTTTGTAGCTGTAAGTGATTTACTCTATTAAATCAAAATTGTGTTTAAACAAGTCTATCCTATGAGAGATGTTAGATACTATGTATGTACAGACTTTAAAATGGCATATTACAATTTTAAATACTTAATAGCATATAAATAATCTAAAACAACGACAGACGTAAAATGCAGAAGTTTAAAAAAGAACTTATGAATTCTTTAAATTTAATGGTTGTGATGTCGTGTAATGTAGTGATTATGCTCAACCTGGACTTGTATCAGCTGATGAATGACCAATCATTCACAAGCAACTCAGAGCCTAGCATAAATGTGTATTAGCCCTTGTTTTCATACTACATCAGCACAATGAAATTAGGTTATTAATATTAGTTGTAAAGGAATTGAAAATAACTGTACGAATGATAATAACAAAAACAAGGCGATGAAAAATCAGCTACAGAAGATGAGATGAAAAGGTATCCATAAAAAACATTGATACATAAAAAGGAAAGAAGTGAACGCATTCTCATCACATTATCCATTTTTTAGTCATGTCACTCAACGTTTTCAACCACAGACCATAGTAATCGCACATACCCAAACTATATAGTCTGCATCTACCTTCTTGGCTCAAATCAATATTTAGTGAGTGTACGAACTGGTGTTACATTTTGGTTTGACCTCTATTATCCTTCTTTTAACCTACTTCCACTCCAGCAACTAATTGTATGTTAAGACAACAATTGATTGTGCGTGCGCAAGATATGTCCCAGCCACTTTGATTGCTGAAGATTCATAGCCTCTTTAACTGGTTCATTCTCGCTGCTCAGTAATCTATTGATTACCTCGACAAAGACCACTCCGTTATCCCTCAATACACAAGCTATGCTCTAAAGGCGCTTATGATTATAAGCGTGACATCTAAACACGTGTTTTACTTACATTGACCATGTTTCCCCTCTGTAATGCAATGATGAATGGACTGTTGGTCAGTATATTCGCAATTTTTGATAAATGAACACGTTCGTTACACTTTGACTGACGAAACTTAATAAAAAATAAGCGAGCTTCTCAACTTTGTGTCTAGATTTCCCCAGGAACCAATCCACCAAGGGCTAATGAAACCTCCAGTACCAGCCAAATAGTCGACTTCCTTAGGTCGCTCACTATGACCAAACTAGGCGATGACTCAAGCCTGTCTTGAATTAATATTTAACAGCCAGAGATAAATAAAGTTCTAAAAGTGCTTATACTATTAGTTCGAGAGTTTAGGAGACATAAGGAAGTTTTGTCAGCATTTCCGCTAAATAAAACAACATAATTCATGTATTCTATATGATTAATAATTTTTCAGTAAATATGTCAGTCTTCTAAAGGTTGCGTAACAAAAGTAAAACCTACTGGAAGACATCTTTGGTGAAGTTAAACGGAATTTAGAATAGCGAGTAACTCTGAGGAACACCATTCAACATTAAAAACCCCGATGATACAAAAATGTCTTTTTAATAATAAAAATCAGATGAATTAATCAAACCTTATATCCAACAGTAATTTTTCACCTATTTTGAAGTATAGTATCTGAACTACGACATTCGGGCTTGACAAAGAATAAAACCTATGCGGATATATTCAGCCTACCTATAAATGTAATCACCTTTGCCTATTTATTACTCAAACAATTAATACAAGGACTTTGATGTCAGTTAAACTATCGTATTAGATCATTATTCTTTCAATAAACTGAAATAGATAACTGCAGTTAATTTAGGAGGGATAATTTACCCGCTTAACATATTTCGACTGACTTATTTATCACACCAAATCTATTCCTAGGATAAATGTATTCTACATCGTTATTTTTACAGCTCTAAAAGCCATAAACATGGCACACTCTAGACCAAGTGATGACATATAACATTTGATGACAAAAAATTAAGCTCCTGCCGTATGTACATAAGTGAAGAATCGTCTAAAAAAGCTTGCGAAGTTGTAGCTCTACCGTTTGAATGTTTCAATTTTACCTACCGCTTCATTAAATTATACTCATTTGACACATGTAACTTAGTATAAAATACAGTCATATTTTTCTTGCTTATTAGTTTTTCAGATTTGACCGTTTTGACTTACTAAAACCTACTACCTTTGAATTTACTTGGTATTGTTTGCTCGTATATTCCAATCGTTGTTTAAGGCCGGTTGGTAGGTCTCGTGTTATCAATATTTTTGTTTTAGTTAGTTTATTTAAATTGAAATATTAAGTTTTATTAAAGATTTTTTGAATTCAAAAAAAATGTATCAAACACATCGAAAAGCTTCAAAAAAAGAAACTCTACAAAAAACATACTGTAAGGATCAAATCACAAATAAACCAGTATATTTTCACTATTTTTAAGCAATAAAATCTTCGTTTTTTTACAAGTTAATATTGGTTTTCAAGTCAGTTGACAATAATGAAAGCTGTTAACTTAAACAATAACACACAAAAACGAGTATATACTTAACCCTTACTTTTTTTAAATCTATACTAATTGCTTGTTGCAGTCTCATACCTACTAATGTTCATTCTCGTCGGGACCAATAAAGTGCTCAACCTTATTGTGAATATTAAGAGAACCATCAATAATCCCACTAAGCTGTTTGTACTTGTTCCTAAATAAGTAAAGATGAACTTTTCGTATAAAACCTTTATATACGCATATTTATTTGTCTTTGTCAATTCCATTTAGTTTATTTTGTCATCAAGACTGTGTCACAGATTAACACGCTGATCAACTTCCCGATCCATCTAAATATTGCATCGAAGGACAAAATGCTAAGCAGTGTTAAATGTGAGTGTTAGTCTGTAAACTTGTTGTTTTTTTGCACAAGATATTCATACTTTTGCTTATTCGAATCAGAATTAGAGCTACAAAATACACGTAATTAAGAATTAATACTTTGCCTATAACAATGTTATAAATTTTCAAAAATTTATCTAATAATAATGAATAATATGGCAACTAAATATAGGTACATGACTAGTTTCTGTTAAAGTCCCTTTGGACCCTGTAGGAAAAATTCTAAATGTACTTATATAAAAAGTTTTACAACGTATTAATAACTTGCTGTAGCTTACGATTATTAGTCCTAAACCAAAAAATAGACATCCTTTAGTCCTTATGATTGTCGAATAACTGAGAAAATCACTGTCAAATCCAACACATAAAATAAGAAACATTATATAGGGACCTTGAGTCAATATATTTGATCAAATTTAGGGTTTTTACTCCTAAAGATAAATCATTTCATGTAACTTTCAGGAAATAACATACAGCTTAGTATAATGCAGTGGAACAGTCCAGTGAAATAGCAGAAGATTCACTAGTTTATGCCTCTCTTAATGTATAGTTTAAAATCTACGAATAAAAAGTTTAAAAGATTATTTTATTAAATGAGCTCAGTTTTGAAGTAGAATTTTTAGTTTGGAGCAAATTAAATAAATTGGGCAAGTATAATGTCTATCAGTCACAAGTCTCACCCTATAAGTACTTCCGCATAGCAACTAGAATGTTTTTTTATCGTGCTAAATACTTGATTGTGAAACAAAATCATTTACTTCAAAGTGATATCAAAAAAATTCTATTGATAGTGTAGCGGTAAATAATTCCCCAAAATCAAATAGCTCTGTAAGTTTTCGACATTGGATGCTGACCACAGTTTTAGTGGACTCATCTAGCTGAAGGCGCTCTGTCAAGCATCCGCACCAGATCACGTGTGGGAACGCCGTGCTCAACATCTGCCGCAATCGCTATCCAGATTAGTGCAAACGATCCTCGATATATTGATAGCTTATCAAATATATCTTCGATCTCCTCACTTCTGTCTTTTGATTTTACTTGGTGGGTGCGCTTCGTATTAGAAGGTGTTACTGGTTAAAGCGTTATCAAACTCCGAATACCTGTGGCATCTTTAATAGAGTGCTATTTTTCAACATATTGAAGCTTTCTTCATACAAACATTTTAAGAAAATCTAGACTGATGAACAGAATTCGTTGGCAGCATGAAAGCTGTTTATGAGACTTTGAAAAAAATAACGGAGAGATAAGTCACAAAAGACTAAGGACAATCCATTTTAATAATGAGATATGCAATGCAATAATTTGTGTATTGCTACGTTTATACATCCTAGTCAAAGCGACTTGCATTAAATTTTAGTGCAGGCATTTTCAGTCAGTAAAGAAGACTAGAAGTACTAGTAGGATTAAACCCACAATTATTATGAACATGAAACTCTTCAAATTTATGATGAAAGTGAGAATCAAGGTTTACGTTCTAAATCTGAGCAATTCGGAGCTAAAGATAAATAAAGTATCCCAAAATGTTGTTTAAAAATCCTGTTAACATTGTTTGACTCTAATTTATACATGATTTTTTGGCCCTATACGTTTGGGGGCTTAAATTTGCCGTCGTGATATTTAGAAGCTTCAGACACAATAAGCGCTTATTGTGTCTGAAGCCTATTCATACCATAAGTGGACATAAAAATGAAAAATCTAGCAAAAATTCAACAATAAAATTTGAGTAATATCATCTGAACGACAAACAAATTTAAATTCAGTCAAATTTATGCGGGATCAGGAATGTAGAAAACACACCAAAATAGAAAGCGCAGTTCTGAAGTTTAGTGATAAAGTAAATTTAATCGACAAATATATTTTTCACTTGAACGCATATTTTAAACACTAGCTTTTGAATTCTGTCAACCACTATGAGTGTCTATGGAGACTGGAACAATAATTAGCATCACACATATTCGTAACACATCTGTGTTAATACCTGCTGTCGGGTTATGCATTTGCAGGCGTTATTAACATTTGAAAGCAACATTATTGTGGTATATTTTAATCAGTAATTTTTAAAACATTATTTTATCATCCCAAATCTTACCGCGGCATCACATATACAAGTTTCTATTGAAATCGTCAAAGTTCATCTTAAAAACTTTACGTTGATGAAGTTAAACAAAAATATGGGTGTTCAGTTATAATGTTTAACAAATGTTTTACTTGCAAAATGATATTATTGGGTTATTAAACTGTCACTTTCACCTTTAGTTTATTTTGCCTTACGGTTTGATATATTTTAAATGCCGTATCTTTAATTATCTTCGATATAATAAATCGTTGTGTTAGGCTGGTGTGAACGACAATATATTTTCGTTTCCTTTGTCTGTCGATAAACATTTCTACACGCTTTCATTACGTAGCATAAAATATAATCGTTCAACCTCCTGAAACTTTCTATACATTGTGCCCTGACTGTGAAAAATCTATCAAAATCCAACTGTCGAATCTATCTCTGGATATTAAACGGGGTTTGGTAGAGAAACATTAGGTGATTTCTGGGTGTTATACCCTCATTTATACTTTTAAACACTGAGTATGATTCCTGCATTTCATCTTTTGTTTGTTTTTCTACCTATCGGACGGTCATAAAGTATTTCCTTAATCGCAGTTTCAGCTTGTTCTCTTGTTTCTCTGGTAGCCTCAAAATTTTCTGATTACACGCAAAACTTCCTTGGTAAGTTAATTAATTCCGTAAATATATCATGTAATTGTAAGGTTAATAGTTGCTATAAAATTAAGTAATTATACATGGATTTCATACTATGGTGGAACTATAAATTGGTCATCTGTTTTGTGATTTATCTAACAATCCTCTCTACAAAACTTAGTGTCGCCTGTTACGACAGTTTAATTAAAACAAACAGTCTGATGGTTCTAGAGCGTCACCTGAACAAGCAGCTAGAGTTATGAGGCTTATTTATTTTGGTGAGTCGATACCTGTAGTTAAATAAAGTTGTCCTTTGTAATAAAAAGGAATATTATATTCAGCGGGCGAAAGCATTCCATGAGACGAACCAGAGCCTATGACAAACTTCTCTAGGGTCTTCAAAGTGGGTCATCTTCAAACACAATATTAAACCCAGAATCAAAGATAGAAACCTGCAATCCATGCAAATTACCTAAAAGAACAGACTTAAACAGAACCTATCAAATTAAAAAGAGATCAATCGTCCACGTGTGGCTGTTGTTTTCATACAAATGCATGAAGAAATCGTTACAACATTCATAAAAATTGTGATGAGTTGCGTGATAGTAAAGCTGAAGTTTCTCAAGAAACATTGCACGACTTAATAAAAAATATGAGGTTTCACTAACTGACCTTATTATTTTTGTGTTCATAAGGTTTGAATGTCGTAAAGTTAAAAGATTTGACTTTTCATTAAAATATTTCCACCCAGAAAAATAGTTGTGAAATATCAGTCGTTTATAGGCTGTTGATCAGAGGACTTGGCTTGAGCGACCTACTTATGGGGAAAAATTGGGACCTATCTGGGCGTAACACTATGAGACAACGCCAGTGTTCTAGGACATGACAGCTAGTTTGTACTGCACACATCAAGAAGAACTTCCGAACCAGGATAGGGACAATTACAGACACTAAAGTATTCCCAGCCATATTTTCAGCTGTAAAATGATTATATTTATACTAACATATATCTAAGATAAATGTGCTAACTAATAACGGAGTTGAAGTGTTGGAACCAATGATGTTTATACCTTTGTGCCGAGGTTGGAAATTTTTGCCTTTTACTCGCCTGTCTCGGTTGACTAGTTCTCATTACATCTAGCTGTCTAGCCTACACTCATGTCGTGACTGAATATAAGAATATCTATATACTGCCAGCTAGACAAAACAACGCAGTTGTCACTACCAACGAGAAGCAAACTTTATGGGATCCTTTTAGGGTGTTTTGCGTAATTATGCGTGAAAATACCCTTCCTCTCCACGTACACGCTATCGAAACTTATTCTTTTTGACCTCTTTAGTGGTACATCTCGATGAGTTTCTGAATCTGGTCATGATCACATTATTTATCTTATATTGAGATTTTTGTTTTTTACCCTGTCAGTGAATTTGTAGGCTTCTCGTAGATCACACAAAAGTTGTTTTACTTTATATTTGGGTATGTCGGCGTCCATATTAATTTTGTTCCTCTTTTCGTTTGTGTTGCTTGGAATGTCTGGAATTATTCACTTTGATTGCAAATTAAGTCACTGTCCTAGGACTGGAAACGCCTGGTGTTATAACAAGTGAGTATTGTTTCTCGAACGATATGTATACAATCCATTTAGAGAAGGTAATTCACCATTTCCATGCTAATAAGAATAATTGTTTGTTGAACGTGATTTGACTATCCATTGAACAGTTACTGGTTGGACAACATGGTGGGGATATTTTCTCAAGTAGTAATGTGCATTTAGATTTACCAAGAAATGGTGAACTGTATTTCACCCAACAACTTTGTTTTGAATTTCGACTGGGTGAGACCACGCACAACTAAACTAACTTCAACAGTTATTCCTCATCCCAAATCACTTTAGTTTGCAAGCTACAAACTTTATCCGCAATTATGTTCTAAAGCTGTATGTGCGATGGTGGTCGGCGATTGGTAGTAATAAAGCTATATCCTGTTTGATCGTTGGTCTCTTCTGGTACCAGAAATCGACCAGTATGTCCTGGACTATTTTTTTAAATCTAATTGTACTTTATCATTTTACTCTCGCTCTTTACAATTTTGATATCCGGTTATGCTCTGAAGAGTGAATTTCTCAAACGCACCTGTAATGACTTGGGGAATCCGAAATTTTTCATAGAGATTAATTTAGCTATTCATCTGTGTTAACAGTTAACCACAGAGAACGGAGTAATATGAAAACTTGATTATATGAGTCATGAATGAAAGTTCACATGCAAATTCGAAAAGTGGTAATACTGTCAAAAAAGTCACCTTGAAGGGATTTCCAGAACATTCATTCAGTCTCACCACTTGTTTTGCCCAAATGTCCGAACTATTGAATGAAAATGAAGACGAAATTATGTAAATATAATTACAAACCACACGAAGTCCACAAATAAATATGAGGTCTTTTTACATATGATTCCAGATCTATTTAGACAGCATTTTCAGCAATCATGGGTTCAAAATTCGTCATGCATTTTCAACATTTACAGCTCCTAGTATCTATGAACAAAATAATGTATACAAAGACAAAAACGAAGCCAATCGATATACTTCACAACTATAAACAAATCAGATGCAGAGATCAAGCATAACAAACACACCAAAAATCTGTTAAACTGAGCAAATTTTACAGTAATTGTTTGTAGTACTTTGAATACTACAAGAAACTCATGTAAGACTCTTATGACTTAAGCCTGGGTCAGTGTTAGTGCACTTAATTGTTGTGCCGGAGAAGTGCTTGAATTTCTGATCCACCTGTTCCTGCTATCCAGACGTTTTAACAATTTATCTGCTTTGATTCGTTTTAACATGTTTTTATGTTTGTTGACTGCATAACTTATTCAGGTGCGTTTACGAAATGTTTACGACCTTTCGCTGTACAAATCACAAAACCGTACAATCAGAGGTATCTTTCTGGCTGGTAACACGCACTGAAAATAATGAACGTTATTCAAATGTAGATTCCTGAACTACTGGCATCCAACTAGCGATCGCCCAATATTTATCACTAGGATCGATCAAGAAATGAGAAAAGGAAACTTGCTGGAATATGTTGTGCTGGGAATTCCAGATTGTACCAAATATATAATATTGAACAAGGCCATTAATGACAAAAATAATAAACCTAACACAACAATGCGTATTTTCTGTGATCTGATTGCCTAATTTATAAGATTTTTCATCGGAGTTCCATAGTTGTCTATACGGAATTGCCCTACGTGACATTCGGTGATATTGCTCTTAAAAATCATTAGAGAATACATGTAAGTTGTCGGTAGCTCAACACATTAAATAAAAATCAGATGAGATATGGTCACCAAGCCAGTATGGCTGAGTCATACAGTCCCTATCAAGCGTTCATATGTTGACATTTCTTGGTCTTCACCTAGCGATCAACTGCCAGTCATATATATTTTCGGATTTGAGAAATATGTGGTTAGCGATCATTTTTATTTCACTGTCACTAGAGAGTCTTTTCGTATCTAAAAGATTTTGTGGCATAATTCTCCATACTTTTCCCAATCAGGTACGACTATCTCGTCAGATAGGATGGGCTTATTGTCTCTATTGGGCAGTCAAATTCGCTTAAGTTTGCAGTCGCTGGTACACGGCTATTAGAAAGATCGTCATGGGCCGAGTCTATTCCGATTCGGTTACACGTCATCCAAAGTTTATTATACTTATCATTAGTACGATGTTTAAAGAATCAAGGCCAAGTATTTACTTTTCTTTTGACTCATACATTTTGCTTTTTGTACGCTCGACACGTCCTCCCAAAACTTTAAATATCAAACCTCACGTTACTTCTCTTCAACACTTTTGACTGAATTAGGCTATCTCAAAAACACCTGTTTCAAACAACTAGATTCCTTTGGATATCCTCATTCTATCACAGTATCCCAATATTTGACCGGATACCTGCTTTATACGTCCATTGCATCCAAATAAAAACCCATGAAATGTTGAGAAATAACTGGACTGCAATGTGAACAGATCGACTGGTTCTTACTATGTCTTCACAATTATGTCACAATTGGTTAAGGGTATGAAAAGCAAAAGATTCATCCGGAGGATATATGCTAGTGGAAAGCCCAAGCTAGCTCGAAGCAATTCGTGTCTCGCATATAATTTATCAGTCAAAAGACCTGTAAACAAGCTGAGGGATAAAAGAAAATGATGGCTCACACTTATACAATACCTTGACAAACTCCGAGGACATGAAAACCTACCACCACGACACAGCGTAGGTGCGAAAGTGACATATGAGAAATTCGGGAAAAGGAAACAAAAACAGTAGTCTGGTAGTCACCAACATGGTAGTCATCATTCGCCCCATTTCACTAAAGCAATCAGTATCAGCATGTA